GGCATCCGAGATGAAGGCTAGCTTGAAGAAAACATCATAGTCATTAGCACCTTTTAATAACAGCGCAGGAGCTGGGTGTGTATGCGTGATTAAGAGGCCAAAAGAAGGAAGTAGGACGTAACCAGGATCGCTTGGTAGTTTTATAGACGTCCAGTCAAAGCACAGGCCAAAGCATAATACGCTAAAACACCATGGCAGGTCTGTCACGTGTAGGGGAGGGGATGAAATTACTCGGGCCTCCTTTGCTTGCTCTTCATGTAGCAAGCTCCGTTCCGATCCATTTCTCTTTGCAGTGAACTCTCCGACGTTGTGTTTCTCAAGTTGTGTTTTTATTAAACTTGCTTTACACGGCGTGTTGCTGGTTCTCTAAAGTTACACCAGTAAAGAAACTTTCCATGTAGTTCTGGTCATGCTTGTACTAAGTTTGGCAAACCAGCTTGTTCATTCGGAGCGTATTTCGATAAAAGAACCAAATGTGTCTGGTTCTAAGTTTTGGGGAGTCCAACTAAAAGAAAAAAATAGTTTGGCCAGCTAGAACATATTTGATTTCAAGTACAGTTAAGTAAACATAAGTAAACGATAATACAGTTAAGTAAACATAAGTAAACAATATTATAATGGCTTTATTTTCAGGCATACAAAAGTGAGAAATTTGAATTACAGACTTTTCAAGCAATTAGATTAACTGGCTTTCAAAATTGGCTTTAGTATATAGCCATTATCAGATCAGACTTTGGTGTACTGATGATATCTGTGCATAAGTAGTAAAAGTTACCGTCTCATCTTTTTAGTAGGCAGATATTTCACCTGTTATCAGCGCTCTCACTTCAGAGAGCTTTTCATTTATTTAGCCATTGTTTAGGATGAGATGATTTTGAATGCTTAACATACTTTTCTTCCATTTGGTAAAAACCTATGGGACAGTTTACTCTCGAAGAAAAATAAGGGGTTAGCACGGTTCAGTACTGTGATATGATAATGTCAAGGCAGAAGTTGAAGGTGATTCAAATGCTTCTCCTCCTTAGGAATGAATTCTGTAGGGGCTGACTTTGTCCTTAGTTGGGCAACCTGTTCAACCCTACATTTTGTGACTTAGTTTGTAATTTGTCAAATGTGGGAACAAACACAGCCTTTTCACCTGAGCAGTGCTTGCATTCAGAATTTGAGAATGTGCCTCTTCTAGAAATGCCATTACTCCAAACGTTACAAGTATTTTTTCAGATGTTGGGAAGTGCACCTGTTTTATTCTACACCTAGTCCAGTTCAGCTAAAAGTATTTCTCATCTGTATCAAACTTGCATCTGGCATGTATCTGGAAGCACTTGTTTAAAATATACTTAAATGAGATCGTGTAATTATACTTTTGCAACATCTTTAGAATTTGATGTTCTTGGCAAATACCTAGAAAGCATTTGCTGATTTTTTTTTTCATAGATCATTCTATCCATTTGCTGAAACCTTGAAATAGGAGGGTGAATTCTTACAGTAATACTGGTTTCATTTTGATTCCAAACTAGCTGCCTTTTCGTGGTTTAGCCTAATTCTTAGCTACATTTTGGGCTATGCTTATTAAACAGCTGGTAACAACTAGCTCGGGTTTTGAAAATGTTTTTGAAGGTGTGTTTGACATTACCAGCTGTCTGTAAACTAGGGATCTCAAAGCTCTTCCAAAAACCAGTTACGCCTGATGACACATTTCATAGTTGTGACTTTTCTGAATTTGAGTCACCGTCCAGAGTAAAGCCCAGGCAATCTTGTTTAATCACTAAACTGGAAGTACTCTTGAGTAATCTGAAACTGCACTTCCCCCTTCGGATTTTTTGGATGTTTATGTTTCCAGAGGTTTATTATTTTATAACTATTGCTATGTACATTTAGCATTAAGTGTATATTCCGTGTGATTTTGAAATTGTTACTGAAGTGGACTGTCCAGTTGCTCACGACTAAAATGGGAACTGGTGACTCATTCAATAAAAGCTCTAGCAGAATCAGCAAAAGTACAGCACGGGTAGGTGTGTCCTCTTGGTAACAAGTTAACTGCTGAATGGAATTGCCTTCTGCAAACTAGCATGCAGCCTTTTATGGCTGAAATGCAATGAAAGTAAGCCAGTTTTACTAGTTGTGAATTCTAATGAGGGTAGCTTGTACCTGGTTGCAGATGTATTCTAGTAATGTTTTAAAATCTATTGTGGAATGACAATGTGGTGTTGGTTAAGCAGAGATCTTTAAATTTCTTGTGCTTCTGCTCCATAGAAGAGATGAGGAGAGCTGTTGAGAGTTTCCATGCTGTCCTTGTCTTTGTGGAGAAATTGCATTGGTCTAAGATATATGCCCACTATTAGTTGAGAGTGGTAATGTTTGCGAAGGCTAGTATGGACCCACTTTGAGTCAGATGTTTGGGGAATGTGTCCAGGAACACACGTTTTTGAGGAGTGTCAGGATTATTCTAGAAGCAATTAGCATGAATTAGAAAAGCCTCTTTTCTAGTAAAGGAAACCCTGTTACTACTTCTGGAAATAATGAACTGTTTGCTGCTGGCACTTTTGCTGGTGCTGGCAGTAATAATTCTAATGACTTCCAGGGCAATACCGAAGTGTTAGATGTTTCTACTGTGGCCAGTCTGATATCCACAGTTAGGTTGGTGGTGTTTTGGGTTTTTTGCCATCCTTTTTTTTTTGTGATTTAAAGCCTTCCAATGCTTTGTGTTTCCCATTATCAGTATCTAGGTTGTCTTCTCTCTCTCTTTAACTTATATTCAATTTTGTGAAAGCTTTGTTAGCTTATTTAAAAGACTGGCAATGCTTACATTTTTTATGGCTTCAGCTTAAATCAGTTTTTGACTTGCTACTGTTATGTGAATATGTAATAGTATCAATAGATGATTTTTTTTACAAGAAAATGTTAGCTGTCTGTCTCGTTAACTTCTACAGATGTCTTTTCAGAGAATATAATCTTCTAATTCACTTGTAATATGAAAACGTGGCAAGAAAGGACGTAAAACGTGGTGTACCAGCTGAACCAGAGGCTGATCGCAAATTTTCTTTGGCCATGATATCCAACAACCTAGCTAAAGACAAAAGCATCACTGAAAGAACAAAAACATAAATAAGGGTTTTCACAATGTGATTGGCCCTTGGTCCTTCTCCTAAGAAAGGCAATTAACTGACACAGTTACTGTTTTTAAACTAATACTAAACCGATTTCAGTCTTGTTAACATCACATTGCTGTGCTATATGCAAATTGTAGTGAAGTGAGTTAGTACCAATGGGTCTGACTTCAGGTATTTACTGGGACTTTTTTCAGTGTTCTTCCAGATGTACAGGAACAATGAAGAAAAGGACCTAATGTAGGAGATCATAAAATATGTCTGCCATACTTGAGAACTGTTGCTCTTTCTTGCCTAAATACCTTGTTGAATTAAAACATCACAGACATGTCTTGTTGCTTTGAAGGGACATATGAAAACTGAAGAAGTCTTGATACTTCCCTGTCTAAATACACTGAGATCTTAAATTCAGGCTTTGAAAAGTTAGTTATGGAGTTCTACTGGAAAAACTGCTCCACTGGAGTAAACAAAACCTGGTTTACATTACTTCATTTTGCTGTTTTAATGTTTGCTCCTTCATTGAGCTTGTATGCATTTCATCATGAGCTTTTTATATATATATAAAAAAATAAAATTTCAGATTTTCAAAATTAAGTAAGGGCTAGTTTTAAATCTCTTTGAACTGTCCCTTGCCCAGAAGTCCATCACAGATGCTTTTTGTCACTAAGGAAGGAGTTGTGTGGAACAGCTGCCTGAACCAGGCTTGAACTTCACCTAGCAAAGAAATTTTATCCGTTTAGGGGTGTTGGTGATTTAGGAGTTCTTATGTTAAAGGTTGCAAAAGGCCTCATATAGGCACAAGCGGTACCCCTAAAAGCATTTTTATTGGTACAATATACAGCTACATGATGTGGGAGTGGCCAGCTGATTTTCACAAATGTTAAAAATTTTCCTCCTGTGGAATAGGTCATAATCGCCATCACTCGATACGCTTTCTCCTGTCACCGTACCATCTTTTCATAGTGGGGTCCAATCATTTAGGCTACTGGGATACAGAGTGGGGTTTATTTACATTGGAGGTTTGGGTTTGCATCTTGGTGGTGGTGCTGGACTTAAAATAGTAAAAATTTTATGAAGAATTGTACTTCAAGTGCTATTTATGTGCCTACTAAGATAACTTTAGTGTTTCCTACTAATTCCATTATGTTTTTCCAGCTGAACGAGCTTTGGATACCATGAACTTCGACGTCATTAAAGGCAAACCAGTGCGCATCATGTGGTCTCAGCGCGATCCGTCTCTACGCAAAAGCGGTGTAGGAAACATCTTCATCAAAAACTTGGACAAATCAATTGATAACAAAGCTTTGTATGACACATTTTCTGCTTTTGGAAACATCCTGTCTTGTAAGGTTAGTGGAAAATTATTGGTGCGTTTAATGGTTTGACAGAAAAACCCCTCAATTTACGCTGGAAACATTCCATGGATATTACAACAAGGTTTTTCTTTAATAGGTGGTATGTGATGAAAATGGATCCAAGGGTTATGGATTTGTACATTTTGAGACACAAGAAGCTGCAGAAAGAGCTATTGAAAAAATGAATGGTATGCTGCTTAATGACCGCAAAGTGTAAGTACATAAATACGTAGTTGGGGATCGACAGGCTGAAATTCATTTTACAGCGGACAAATACTTAGCTTACCTAGAAAAGGCAGGTTGTTCTAAAAATTTCTAATTTTAAAGAGGATTTAGGATGTTAGTGCTAGGAATATTATGAATTATATCGCCCGCCTATTCTAAAGGCAGAATAAGTTCAGAAAAGGCTAATAATGGACTCTAGGGAAAAAATTGTTGTATTAGTTGTCTTACAAGCCAATGCTGTAATGAGGATTTGGGAACTTCTCTGGGTTTCTGATCTTACTGGTCTGAGATAAAATACAATGCATCAGGTATTCTGAATAATACTTCCTTTATAAGAGTTGTGAGATGGGTATGTTACCCATTTTTTGGATGAAACATAAAGCTCTAGAGTTACTCAGTCCTGAATAGCAATTGGATTACACTAATGTTTTTATATGAATGTCTGTTAGTAGGCCTATCTAGGAAATAGGAGCGGAAAATAAAACCTACAGAAACATAATGTTTTAAACATTATCACTGTTTTATACTGTAGGAAAAAAAGTTATTCGGCTACTTGGTTAGTGATATCTAGGCTTGAAGGGGGGGGCGAGTGTGCCTCACAGCTATGCCTAAGGGATCATTATGGTATTTGGTATAGTTGCAAAAGAATAGCTCTGAATACTTGAGAGGGTTTGGAAAAAGGATAACAGAAATCAGCATCAGCTTACCATCATGGATTATTTTTACATGTAGAGATGGATGGATCAAGCCACATACAGGGAGAACACATATTTTGAAACTTTAGTTTTCCTGCTTGTTCTGTGCTTGACTGGCATACTGTGGATGTTTTTACTCAGCTTCTATCTTTATATAACCTTTTTAAATTAGTAAAAAAAGGTCAGCATGTAGTCATAAAAACACATGATTTACATAAACTTTGTTTGGTAAAAAAACATCATTAGGGTTAATTTTGCTTTGAATTTCTATTCAGGCGAGGCTTTTAGAAGTGAATTAAAGTATTTCACTCACTATCAAAATCTGCTGAACACATTCCGCTATCATTCTTACCGCCCTTGGTTACTATAAATCGGGTGAAGTTGTTCAAGCTTAAGAAAACGTTGAGTTACTGTATGCTACTTTATTGGATCTGTCAGATTTGGAACTATAAAGTTGGACAACACAATAAAATTTGAGAGCAAAAGTCTATTACAATCAGAAATTAGTGTTAGCCATGTAACGTCTGTACGAGAGCAGTTCTTTGGGTTGCAGAGTGTTGTGTTCGGCTTCTGTTCTTTCTCTGATGGTATGAACTAACTTTTGGTGTTCCCAGCCAATTTGCAATGGTATTTGACTAAAGAGTGAGTTGAACTGTTTATTTCTCTATGCCTATTCAAAACAAAACAAACCCAACAGTTTGTTTTGATATAGGCTGGAAAGGTGTGTAAGGGAGTGGGGGAGGTTAGTTAAATATCCCTTGCTTAAAAACTGGATCAGAGAACGGTTACTGCTTTAAGGCTGCCAAGTTTGTAGTATGGCAGAGGGATTATGCTGATATCTAGAATTTCTGTTTAGCCACTTTACCTTTCCCATTGTCCAGCTCCTGTTGTCAAAGGCTGTTTTATAAGAGTGAACAATCTCGCCAATGGCTTGAAAGCATTTTTATGCTAGTGGCTGTGATAAGCACACTGACGTACCAAAGGATAGTGAAATTGTTTTTCTGATGGAGTTTTATCGTAAATATTTTATCTAAAGAATTTCATGCCTATAACGAACAATGAGACTGATTAAGAATAAAATATGATGCTAGAGGATTAAAGTAAATTGTTAAACCTTGACAGACTTGCTTTAATCTACACTGTTCTGTTCTCCTGCAACTAGATTTGTTGGAAGGTTTAAATCCCGCAAGGAACGTGAGGCAGAGCTTGGAGCCAGAGCAAAGGAATTCACCAATGTTTACATCAAGAATTTTGGAGAAGACATGGATGATGAGAGACTTAAGGAACTCTTTGGCAAGTTTGGTAATGTCTTAAACTTTTAAGTTTATATAAACACAAGTGAACTTCAGCTTACTACTTACATCTTATCTGTACAGTGCCTTATAATACAAGGAATCAGCTGGCTGTCTGATGTTGATTTAAAAAAATAAAAAAAGGTACTGAAAAGTTGGTACTTAATTCCAATTTCAGATTTAAAGTGCAATAACATCTGCTGCAGAATTTTAAATAGGCAGAATAGCATATATAATCCTGCCATCAGAATTGCTTCTGATAATCTGAAAATAATGTGTCTAAATAGTCTTTTCAATGAGTTTTGCAAATTTTTTAAAGTTGCAAATAGAAGGTTTCTCTGTTTTAGTATAGATTGATGTTATGAATTCACTACAGGATACATGAAAAATTACTTTGCCATTGCTTTCATTGACCTGCAGACTTATCTTTACTCAGAGTATCTCTGCTTTCATTATTCAGTTGCATTGTGGCGGTTGACCTAATATGAAATTATAAGGAACTTTTCCCTTGGCAAGCTATTTGGTTCTGTCTTGATCCTCAGTTGTGCACGGGGCAGGCATATGATCGTGATCTAGTAATGTATATGGTGTGTCACCATCGAAACAGGAAATGGCAATCTCCTTAATTCAGTTACTTTCAGCCTCAGCTTTTTTTTTGTTTTCTTCCCTCCATGCTTTTGCTGTTCTCCAGTGGATATCATGTAAAGCAAGACAAAGCCTTGCATGTGAGATATTCAATAGTGGCCCTAAGCAGCATTTACAGGAAATTCCCTTCCACTATTGAAGTATCTGTGGTTGAAACGGTAGCGAATTTAGCTGCTAATATCTGTCTCAATTGATCTGTGAACTGCAATTTTTCAAAGGTTTGGAATTGCTGACTGGGGTGGCCTTTCACCGGGATAAATGGTGAAGCACATACCTAATAAAGGCCTCCTCTCTGGCTTTCAGTATCTGTTTCAAAGGATGGAAGCACTAATGCTTTCTAAATGTCATCATTTTTAATGAGAAGAACAATTTCATTCACTTTGAGGTGAAATTCCTACCCCATTTTGGTTGAAAATACAGTAGGAAAGAAATTCAGCATGGCAGACTTCAGCCATAATGGCTGAAGTTCAGCATCATGGCAAATTAGCAATTTTATATTAATGGGTTATGTTTACTAGATTGGTGCAGGAGTCCTTTGTAATACAAATGAAACAAACTAAATATTAAGACTTCTAAACAGGATGTTAAAAATGTGAAGAGAATACATTCTGTATACAAAGTATAAGTATTTCATTATCTTTTTAGGTCCTGCCCTAAGTGTGAAAGTTATGACCGATGAGAGTGGAAAATCCAAAGGCTTTGGCTTCGTTAGTTTTGAAAGACATGAAGATGCCCAAAAAGTAAGCTTTTGGACTTCATTTTAGGAATTCTATAACTGAGACCCAAATAATATGTTTCATTGAGTGTTTTGAAATCTTGTGACTTCTTTAAGGGTTTTTAATTGGTCAAGGACACTGCAAAAACAGGTGTCTGCTTCCCAAATGACTTAGCATAGTTTCTGTTGTTGAGAATGCTTTCTTATGAGCAAATGTCAGTTGATTAGAGTAGCCTATTAAGTCAAGATACTCTGAGCCAGCTGGAACTAGTGTAGAAATGGGGAATCTCGATTAATTTAATAATGTGTTGTAGTTGGGCTTAAAGGTCTCTGAGATTTGGACTCCCTCATGCTGGGCAACATACAAGCATAGTAAGTTATTACATCTCTGCAAAACCCAGATGAATCATTGGATCCAATTCGGTTGCGCAAAACGTTTGTGCAAGGCAGAAAGGATGGAGTTTCCAGA